TTTTGGTCATCCCTCACGCTTAGCTCATTTTTTTCTTGCTTTAATTACAGTGTTGCTTCTTCAGGGTCACTCTGTCAGCTTTACCAGTTCCTTTATCACTTCCTGGCATTCTTTCACAACCCTTCTTTGGTCATTTTATTAATGTCCTATGATCAATTACATTGTTTGATTGCTTAAAAATAGATCAAGATCTGTATTACTGAACTGTCGGAGGCAGGTGGAGAGAAAGACCTTGGTCATTTACCTGGTTTCAGAATTAGAAAAATCAAGTTGAAGAGGTGGCATAGTTTGGAGGAACAAACATGACCACTTCTACCCCCACCCAGTCACATGAAGGTTGCCAAGGTGAAGTAATGTGGCCCACAGCTCTCCCACCTTTTTTTGTGAGGCTTAGTTGCACCTTTGTAATCAAAGAGAGACTGTAGCTAGAGGACTGAACTGAAGAGTCATGCCAAAAAAACAGAGTGGGGAATCCTAGGATACCACAAATTCTGCTACCTTAGAGAAGAAACTTTGGATGAGATGATTCTGCTCCCATGTCAGTTTACAAGAGATGATCACAAAAGGAAAGCTCCACACGGACCATGGATCCTTTCCTTTTTCTGGATCTCCTTGAGTATGTCAACTGAAAGGGATAATTTGACACAATTTTGCTTCCAAGAAAATCCAGGTAAAAACACATGTTCACACAGAACTTTGATAATGACCAGAAAAGCTAATTATATAGTCTGATTACTTGGTGGATTTGCTATTTTCAAAACTCTTTAAAGAACAGTTGGATTTGCATTGTGTAAATATGCATTCATGCCATGTCTCTTGTGGATAGAAAACCAGGACTCAGAGAGATCATCTGTAGTAACTTACAGAAATTATTTGCTGATCATTGGTATACATATGTAATGTTTTTATCATCCTGAACCTTGTAATTTTATGCTCAATAGAAGGGTATGTGGTACCTTCGCTTAGCAGCATAAAACAACCCAGGCTGGGACTGCTGTTCTCCCAGAATACATCTTGTTTTGCACAGGGGGTCTGTAGGCTGGAAACCAATTACTTTCTTCTTTTTCCTTTTTTTTTTTTTTTTTTCCGTTTTCCTTAGGTTAGTTTTTGCATTAATGAATCCATCCTACAGCTGAGTCAACAATACTAGAACAGCAAAAGGGAGGGAGAGGCAGGGAGGAGGACTGTATCAGCTTCACCCCAGATTTCTATAAATTGCCATGGGGTTACGCTCCATGGCCTCAAAGCCAAAGCTGAGGATAGAAGATGGTGTGAATACCTGTGTATTATCTTGCTGAAATTGTTTGCCATCTAGTGGTTTGTTGGCCTCCTACAAATACAAACTTGAAAATAGTAAAGAACTGGAGGATATAATTATTTTTTAAAAGTTTGTATTACATCTGTTTCCCAATGTGCAAGAACCTACACAAATGCATAGGAAAGATGAAGCATCTCTCGCAAAGTGTTTACTATTAGAGTGAATGTGCCATGGAGACAAGCAACAAAAACTTGGACACAACCAAGCTGAGATTCAGAGATATTAGGTACACACTGTTTTTAATTTTTCTCCTTTTTATTTCATTGTGCTACTCTTATTTCATCAAGGTATCTTGACCTAATTTGCTCCACCATTTTCTTCAAGCTTGCCCACCCAAAAGCATACATTTATATAGAGTACAAAGGAATTAGGAGGATTCTGTGTCTGTGGGTGGGGGATGTCAGGGAGCAGCAAGAGTTGGCTGCTCTGCAACAGAAGGTGTGCCAGGAGCTAAGCACAATACCAAGGCCAGTGAAAGCAGTCACCTCACCAACAAGGAGCCAGAATGTGGACCAGCAAGACAGGGTCAAGATTAGGTTGAGATTGGGTTGTGTCAGGGTCAGACATAGTCCAGTGGTCACACAGCAGGGCTGCAGTGACAAGGCAGGTCTGAGGCCAAACCAGGATGCCAAGTCAGCAAGTCTGGATCGGGGCCAGACTTGCAGAGGTGCAAGACAGTGCAAACAGAGCTGCTTCACAGCTGCATAGCAGCGCAAAGGCCAGCACAAAGCCTCAGCTTAAAAGTGGCTCTCAAGGGAAGGGAGAGGCAGGCCCTCACTCCTAGCTTTTTTTCACAACTGCTCTTATCAGTGTAGGAGCTGACCTTGGACTCTGCCAACTAAACTTCTGCAAGGGGGTAACGTGCTTGGGGCCATGACAGTCTGAGGGCTGGAACAGGGCTATGGAACACGTCCAACACAGGGGTAAAGCTGGTTAATGGGAATGGCCTTCTTCATTAAAATAGTGTATGAATGAAAATCCCACATGAAGTAGATCGAAGCAAAATTCAAAGAGCTTACTGTATTCAGTTTGGGGGAATCAAGAATTCTTGCTGTTAACGATGGCTTCATTAATGAGAAGCAGCAAGGGACATCTTGGTTATTAACTGATCACAGAATGATTTGAAGCTATTAATTTGATGTGTACATGAAAAATAATCAAATACAATCCTAGGATGTATCAGGGCCACACATTTCTATCAGAGACACTGTACAAGACCTGAAGTTAATGTACTAACTAGTCACCCATGTTTAACAAGGGTAAATTCAAACTAACATATGTACAAATGGTTCAGTGGGCTAATCAGGAGAATAATAAGAGTTTCCTGTCTTATGAAAGAAGACTAGTAACAACAGGCTAAAATAAAAGGGCTGGATGGAGTAGAACAAATGATGGGTGAACATCACAAAGAACAAAAACTGTTTAAACTCAAGGGCAGCACTGGCCAGGGACACATTGGTGTAAATAATCCTATACTAAGAATTAAACTAATAAAATCAATTATTTGAAAATTAATAAATAATTAGGCCTTCTACTCTTCCAAGGAGTGAAATTTTGGGACAGTTTTTCAGTGCTCTTAATATCAGCAAGAAAACTTTAAGAAACAAATAAATACCTCTATATTTAGTTACTTGAGTTGCATGTGACTGTAAAGGTTTACACTAGAAGGTCCAGAGGGTCCCTTTCAGACTTATTTCCTGCATTAACCATTAATTTATGACAAGTAGCCTTCTGGTTAAAGTCAGACTAGATTATCTCATGTGGTTTTTTGGCTTTACAGTATTAGAAGTCCACATAAAGCTGTATTTTAGTGATATATTGCTTTACAAGTATGCATATATGACCCTATGCTGTAGTGACAATATTGAAATAAGCTGTATTATTTGTAGCCACGTTATTTTGTGTTGCAAAAGAGTGAAACCTAATGAAAAAGAGCTCAGCATGGGTGAGGGGATACCAGCATACTAGCTGAGGATCTGGCCCTCAGAGTATTTATTTCAGTGACCACTCTATGATATATTAACATGTTAACTGAATTTATATTCATATGAGTTAAAAAACATATTGAGTGCATTGAGTTATATTTAAAAATATTATTCTACAAACTGTATATCTGAACAAATGCATTTATTTTGCTAGTAGACTGAGAGCTATTCTGCCTGTATTACACAGTGGCAACCTGTGTAAAGTTACTGCAGCCTCTGTGACAGGTACAGTTTTTAATGAAATTGCCTAGAAAAAAAGGTCAGCCTCAGTCAGCTGAAATGTAGAGATTCACTGTGCACCTAGGTAATTGTAACACTTTGAAAATTCTATGCTAAATCCAGATGGGGACAGCACTACATTTCTTTTTATGGAAAGAATACTGGATTGTAAAAGATAATGATGTGAAATAAATTTGGTATAACAGGATTCATACAGCATGGGTCCCATAAAAGCTACTTTGACATAGCAATAATTGAAATAAAGCTTAAAAGACAAGATTCAGACTATGTAAAATATTATGTTCACTGTATCTGTAATAGGTAAAGGGAATCCCTCTAATGACATTGACTCTAACTTAGAGGGTAGGAGCCTTATACATGAAGCAAAGAAAACAGCCACATTGAAGTCACTTGTTTCATGGCCAGACAGCCTGGAGGCTCTTGACATCTCCACCACAACCTTCTCCTTAAAGAAAATATACCAGTTTAAGTGATATTGTATATTGTTATCTTCTTCTTTGATCTTACAGAGGTGCAACAAAAATCATAAGGAATAATCTTAGCTACCTCAAGTGCATCAGAGATAAACAACATTTCCTCCATTTCCCCATTTAATTACACTCCTGTTTGAATGAATTATTTTGAAGTAAATGCTCTATTTCTTCCTCATTCACTCAGCACTCTCCAGTCTGGGTGTGGTAGAGTGAAGGGAATCTACATAACCATCTAATCAAAACTAGTAGAGCAAAGTGAACATTGCAGAGAGCCAAATGAAGTGTACATGTGCAGTCTGTAATTGCTCAGGAAATCTCAAAATTTCCTGTTGCACATACTGGTACTGTTGTCCCAAAATATGGGTTCTTTTACCCAGTGTGCAATGATCCAAAAAAACACAGGGTCAAGATATTTGTTTAGTCCATATCTGCACAGAGATGGGTGCTATGTGGTAATTCCACAAAACTAGCACATCACACACTGGTAAACGACACACACACTTCAAACTACAGGAATACACATTTAATTAATGACCATTAGTTAGTTTCTTATCACTTTTTTCCTCATTGGTTAACAATGTGCCTCGACTCGATTTACAGTATCTTATTATTCTGCATAAGACTTTTTCTCACCAAGAGGTGTGGTTTTCACATTATTATGAGATAATTAATCTACAGGACACAACTTGGGCAGTCTTTATGGTATCTCCGAGCACACAACCAAGGGAAGTTTCCTTGTTCCTCAATTCCAGGTTGTGTCTTTTTATCTTGTTTTGTGGAGCTCTACTGTCTTTGAGCCTATTATCCCCTCTCAAGGCCTTGTCCTGTAAAATGTTTCTTTTTGTTTTAATCTTTCCGTTTTCATCAGTATTTGAGCCATTCACCAGGAATGCTCACCTCCTCTTAAAACCTCTGACAGCATTGCTGACCCCTTGCTGATGCCTGGGCTTTAGAAGTTTGCTTCTGTCATAAGAAATAATAATAATGGGGAACTGGCAGCTCCTCAGTGGATCTGCCTGGAAAGCCCGGTGGACAGGTGAGACCCCTGAGCTGCCAGCAACACTTCTCTGGGGCCGTGCTTCTGCCTGGACCCGAGGATCCCAGTCCCTCCTAGGCCAGGTCTCCCAAAGGGGCGTCTGGGATGCAGTGTCGACTTCTTGGGTGCCACCTCCACAGCACCTGTCAGGCAGGGACCCCACTGAGCCCTTGCCTGAGCCGTGATAAGAAATCCCCCACAGACCCAACCCGTCGGGGGGGCAGGACACGTCGGGCTCCACGGGACCATCTTCCCAGAAAGACTGGAGCTAGGTCTCGTATTTGGGAACCAGAGAGCTTTCACCGGCCTACAGCGCGGTCTGAGGGAGCAAGAGGGAAGCGGAAGGGAAGCCGGTGGCGGACAAGGCCCCACCGCAAGCCTTGCGCCTTTTCCGTAAGGCCCGGCCCCTTCCCTCAGCGCATCGCCGCGCACTTTGCGTAACCCCGCTCTTCCCGTCGCGCGGTCCCCTCTCACCGCCGTCGGGGGGGGCGGGGCGTGCGCTACGTAGCCGGCTGCGAGAATCGCCGCAGCTCGCGCCGGAGGCGTAAGCGGCGGGACTTTGCCCCCGCCCCTCCCC